GTAATTTGGGGGTGTGGGAATGGGGCAGAATGACAAAAAAAAAAGGATGTACTGTTTTAGTTAATGTCTTCAAGCTGCAAAGACCTGAAGCCGTTTAGTGAAAAGATATTAATTTTACAGCTTACACAAGGAAAAACATAGTTTACAAAATGAGAATTCGGTATCTTGTACAAAATGCACTCATTCTACTAATAAACATTTTCAATAAAACAGACCTTATAAAACTAATCATTAGGTCTTATTTCAAAGCAAGCCAGAAATCACTTCTAGTTTATTACAGATTTATGAGTGTTCTTCTTTAATCTTTAGTAAAACTTTTACAGTTGTTTTCACATTCTCTCAAAGCACAGCAGCCCCCAAGCAAAGGCAGGGGGGGGGGGGAAACCCAGCTTATAATAGCATGTGACCCAGCAGAGAGAGATTTTTTTTAAAAAGTACAGTCTTTATTTTTCTTCCTAACAACCTGGTTTGTTTCTACAACCCCCCCCCCTCCCCCCGACTCCACCTCCCTTCACGACACATCCTTCATAGCTAGCAGTTCTTTCAATCATTGACTTTGGATGTCTGCTTGGGAACAAATGATCATGCTCATGCAGATGAGTTTGCCAGACTTGTGTGTACTTTCCAGTCTCAGTCTCTTTAATTGTTCTTACTGAAACATGACCCTTTTGAAGTAGATATCAAGAAAAAACAAAAGGGAAGGGTGGGGGAGAGGGAAGGATAAAAACCAAACTCACTTCTCTCGAGGGTGGAGAGCAATATTTTCAGTAGCAATAATAAAAACCTAGTCATAATAAAATGTGTTCTGATTTCACTAGCAGGACCACAACTTCAAAAAACCGTCTGTTAAAAAAACCTTGCTTTCCTTCTTTCGTGCAAAAATTAGTATTGTTTAAAAGGAAGTAACTGTCTTTTGAGCAAAAAGTCTAATAAAAAGTCTATCATGTGGCTGATAAAACATATATATAGATCAAAATTAATAACATTAACCTCAATGTTAAATAATGTTTAAATAAAAATAAAATCTGATTTCTCAGATTATCTTTCACTAAGACTGCCACAGACAAAGAGATAATACAAATCAAAGTGAATTTCAGGATATAAATCTAATAAATATGGGATAGAAATTAAATAAATAAATTTTCAAGATGAAAAAACAAATCAAAGCTGAGAAAGACAAAGATCTCAAGAAACAATTCTCTGAAATGTGTTATTTCAGACAGCTGGTAGAAGAGACAAGGAGCTACATCATCTGAAAATGGAAACAGACAAGACATAAAGGATATCTGCCAAAATATGTTCAAACTCAGAAGATGTTAAAGATCCCAAGAGATATATAGTAACTGATTCAAAAAAAGATCAAAGAAGGATGGAAACAGTATACTAAAATTCTGTAGTGTCAGCATCCAAGATATCTAAGAAAACGTTCCGTATTTATAAGAATCTCTAGTACTGGAAAATGAAGGTAGGTAAGCATTCTCATCATAAACAAGTTGGAAAGCTATACAAATCTCTCATTTACAATCAGTTAAAACAAGGTAAAACATTTAAAACAGTAAATAGTAGCACTAAAATTGAATTAAAATTAATATTAATTAAAATTAACATTAATTGATTGAATCTATAGAAATATATAGCAATTTCAGAAAATCTCATTGTCCCTTAGAGACAATAGGAAGCCACAGTCTGGATGGAACACAGTGAAACCAGTGGCTTCAGGTTGACAAAGGTGTGAAACAAAACTCTATACCCTCTTTTTATTTATTCAGCCTATATGATGGCTATACAGTGAAGGAGGCAGGCTTTAAAGAAGATAAGTGCAATATTAAAACTGGAGGCAAATACATCAATATGCTAGGTTACATCAATGATACTACCCTATAAGATATAGGATCTCCTGCTTGAGCAGGGGGATGGACTAGAAGACCTCCAAGGTCCCTTCCAGCTCTGTTCTGATTCTGAAAATGCAAAATGTTTAGAAATTCTAATCGTGGAAGTCAAGGAGCACAGTGAAAAAGTGTGACTAAGATTAAATATAAAACACACCATATTAATGACAATGGATACAACAGCGAGACAGAATAGACAATGAAGTCATTGAAGTTATTGATAGCTTTTGCTTTTAGGATCAACAATCAACAGTAAAGAAACTGGTAGTCCAGAAATCTGCTGCAGACAAGTGTTTGGTAGGGGAGCAAAGAAAGTATTGGAAAAGATATCTGGATGTCGTAACATGTCTATGTATGCAATTGTTTTTTCCTGTGACACTCTATGGAAGTGAAAGCTGGACTTTAAAGAATCAAGATAGAAAGAGTATTGGCATCTTTGAACTTCGATGTTGAGGAAGCCTTCTGAGAATTATGCAGACAGCCAAGAAAACAAACAGATCATAGAACAAATCATTTTTCAATTCTCACACCAGACCCAAATGACTAGGTTTAAATTAACATATTTGGGTCACATTATGGAGATCACAGTTCCTCTGAGAAGCCCATAAGTTGGGAAAGCTGGAAAGAGAGAGAAGAGGATGAGCAATACAAAGATAGGCAGATGTAATTGCTGCAGTAATGGATGTAAAGCTGAAAATCCTTAAGAGCCACAGTGGTACAGATCATCATAGAGGTCAGTCTATATCTATGTAAAAGGTAATATTAATTTGAGGTCAAATGAAAGTCAAAAATCATGACAGAAATATATCACAGCAAAAGTCAACTTTCTTTGTGCTTTCTATTTATGTAGTATAAAATATTGATACTACAGATAAAACACTTATTTTTCTCCCCAATAGAACAAAGCTAACAAGAAAAAAGTCTATCAGAATAGATTAGCTTTTGGATTAGGAGTTAGATATGTTTGTAAGCACTGAACAATATGATATTACTACTTATAGTATGGTTGGCATTCCATTCCTCTTTCTGGATCTTCCCAAGAATATATTTTAAGACAAAACAATCTATAGTGTAGATAATTCAGAAATGTTAAACTTTTTGTGATATGGTTCCAGGAATCTGCCAATAAAACTGTATCCAAGAAACATGGATAAAGCGTAGGTAATAGATATGGCAAACTCCTAAGACTGAATTGCTCACAAAGGTAGAAGTCTCCACCTCAAATTGTCAAGAAAAGACTTTCAGAATTTCTTTTTATTTTTTTCACAATTGTTTATAATTCACTCAGAAATATATTTCTCAATTTTGTCTAAGCTAGCCTTCAAACCACTGACCTGTATTGTCTCTAGAATCATGGATTTTCAACTGTTGCAGTATTGTTTGGGTTGACTTGTTATTTAGCAATATCATGGCTGTATATTATAAAGCATCTTTATCTGCTCCATTATTCTTTACCCTGGACTTAAGTAAAGCTATTTTCCATTACCTATTACCTAATCTTATTAACTGGAGGTGCCAATGCCCTGATTCTTCTGCAAGTAAAGCATGTCCTGTTCAACTGTGTGACCTATCGCCAAGTACAATAAATTGAACAGGCCTGTATTGTTTATTTCCGCTAAACTTTCTTACAGCCCAAAATTGTTTCTAGTTCAGACTGAAGAGTTTATTTGTAACTAGCCATATTAGCAGTTGATGCAAACAGTTTAAACCAGTAGAAAATGTTCTCAAAAGACTTTTCAATATAACAGTGCATACTGGCTACATTTGTCTTTTAAATGTATTTACAAGAGAACAGGTGTTTTTTTAAAAAAAATAAAGTGTTCAGCCTAAGGAACCAAAACAATACAAACCTACAAAGACACAATGTATGCATTGGATAGAATTGAATTAGGAGTAGGGAGAACAAGTCTCAAGCCACCAGTCAGCTATGAAGCTCACTGGGGAAGACCCTGGCTCAGCCACTTTGTCAGAACTGGAGAGTGAAAAAGAATAGGGTCCATCAATAACCCCTGAAGAAAGGAAGAAACAATGAGGCAGTTACCAAAAATATTTCTGTGTGTTTATTTCAGCCCAAGCAGGACATACAAACCAAACACTTTCTTATGATATGGCTTCAACAATACAAATACTCTTATAAGGAAAGTAATTATTAATCTACTGAAGTGCTTCCTTGCACACAACAAGGTCAACTGGGTACCAATTTAAGGACAACTTTCTGCAATTTTAGGAATCTACGCAAAATAAAAGCAAACCTTTGCAAACCATACAAAGAAAAGCTGACCAATCTTAACCATTCCTTGCTCTCTATGACAGCAACTTTCTTTGAATGAATCCTCATTTTTGCAATAATTACAGGCTCTCTCCCAGAACAATGTCTCTAATCCCCACTCTCTGCAGATAACGCAAAAGAATACAATGACCAATGACACTGACGTTGACTAAGACAAGAAGTAAAAACTTCTCCAAGTCCTGCCATAATGACAATGTCGTTTCCATCCCAAGCCCAACTTTGAAAGGCTAGACAGGAAAACCCATCTCATCCAGGATCTTTCTCAATCACCTTAATAAGATATACTAATTTTGCAGAGTGGCTGTTATATCCAGACAGAGGTCAATATATGGCTGTCTTTTGAGGGAGCACACTACTATTCAATCGAGACACGCCATCCCCTCTGCCAAGGACATAATCACCCCCACTTATGTCACAGTAATTTCTCTGGCCTCACATCACTCAAGAGAGACAAATATCTAATTTTCATACATACGCACCACAACCAATTCATACTTTCTAAGATGCATTTTAATCTTTTCACTTGTACTTAAACCTATAAATAAAACTATATTTATGGTAGCATTTCTCTCAGAGACCACACAAGCAAGCCAAACGTTGAACAGAAAGATGGTTCCTTCAAGAACCCAGATGATAAACCATCTAGGCTTTTAAACATAAATAATTTAAGCACGTTACTTCAGCACAGCTTTTTCAGATAGTGTAATTTTCTACAACTTGGATGAATAGATTCAGCAAAAGATAAGAATTCAATCAAATGCTGTTCCAAAAACTGCCAGCATCATAGTTTTCCCATCCCCATCTTCCATACTTGTACTTACTTCAGAAAATATCTCTGGCCAGAAGGTGTCTTTGCCATCTCCCAACCTGGTGGTAGGGGCACATCATCAGGGATTTCAAAAGATGATTGACGGAGATGCTGAGAGGGTGTACCTCCAGGAACTACAACAGATGGAGTAAGTGCAACTGGAGAAACTGTTCCCAACAGAGCTGGAGAAGAGTGAGCACGGACATGTTGAGGAGTTAGGGCTCCTGCCGTTCCTGCATCTGTGCTGGCCTGTTAGAGAGTTAAACAGTTCTTTAATCTATAGATACCCAATACATTAACAGCATGCTAAAAAAACTACTCCTCTCCAATTTGAAATATTTTGCAACAAGACTTATAAAAACCAATGAATACTCATCCCAGCACTGCATACTACTCTTGAAATATGTGCAAGACAAAGTGACAAATGGAGCAGAATGGAAATAATGCTTTACAAAAACACCACTACTGAGTTATATAGAACTTTTATGTATTTTGGGTTGATTTGTTTATTTTTACCAAAGATCAATGAGATCTACAGTTGCTTCTTATGGAACTTGGGGGATGACTAGAAAAAATGATTCTGAAAATTTATACTGTACATTTTGAGGGTGTAAATTCCTTCCAACCATTAAGAAACTGTTTCATTCATTTTACAGACAAGCCAAATTATTCCCCAGACTTGTGGATAAAAACATTAATGTTTCTTTATTTCTGCCTTCTGTCAGGCACAAGAAGGGAGCAGAAATAAAATCTGGTTGCTCTTAATAAAGGGATCATGCAGCTTTAGATTTTGGGTTTTTCCCCATGGACCCACATAGTTATAACTGCTTTTTAGAATGTTCAAGTACTCTTTTTTTTTTCTCAGAATACCTGAGTCAATCTCCTTTTTTCCCCGTTCCCACTGCTTTTCGCTTCTTTGTCCCACATCTTTATCAAGGGCTTCAGAGACAGCTGTGAAAGCTATTTAAACAGTATTACAGAATAGGACAAACGAGGTCCACATTGCAAACAGTAATACATGTCTGGTTTTCCTAAAATGTATTCCAGATGACAAAAGATTTAAAGGGGGAGGAAAAGAAAGCAAAGGATGATTTAAAGCAGGGCAGGGCAAATCATTCTGTTCTTCAGACTTTCCTCCTTTTACTATGCATTAAAATGGACAAAAGTTGCCTTTTTAAAAAATTATTTGGAAAATAATCCACACAACTCTTTCACATCACAATGGCTTTTCCACTGACAGTGTTAAAGAAAGAGACAGGAGGAGGAGGGACAACAACAGGATATTACAGTGATTAATAAATATATTAGGGCACAGGCTTTTATCAACATATGGTATCACAGTTCAACAAAGGAGTATTATATTTTTTGTCTAGGATAGCGCACCATTTTCTATGGGTTATGAAAACTTATGCCATAGAAAATGTGTTAAAAGAAATTCTTTTAAGATTCTTCACAGTAGCCATCTGCATATCAGATACTCTCCTGAAAACAAAAATGGCTCTAAACTAACAGCCTTAAGAAGAAATAAAAGAAATCACTCTAAAAATATCTAATGAAGGACCTCCGTTCCTCTGCCACTTTTCAACAGATGTCCTGAAGACTGTTTAGGGAAACCTTTTTCGCATCTACACAAAAGGTCTTGGAAGGACCCTCACCTCCCTTAAATCTCAGGAGGGGGGATTAAGTCACAGCTGTGAACTATAACCAACAATCCCTTCCAGGAACAGAAGGAATCCTTCTGTTTGCAGACAACTCTTTGAATCAATGGAGAACTCAGCTAGCAGAAGAGATAGGGAAGCAATTTTCATCAATTACCCTTTTTTCTGTGCCACATTCCATACTGTTCTGGAGAGACTCCCAGCCCCCCTAAGCTGATTTTGGAGGGCTGCAGAGGAAATTGGTGAGAACAGAGTCAACTTTCTCTGGGGGGGGGAGGGGCTGGGGGGAGGGCTTTCACAGGATCAAGAACTCTTCAACCAAAGGGAAGAATGCGAATACATTCAACCCATTAAATTAATGTAAATATTACGGTGTGTTCATATATATTAGCTCAAATGATAGTAAGCCACATTTGTAAACTATACACTATTCTTAATGTCAGCAACAGGATTGAACTTTTCCTTAAAATAAAAAAAAATGTTAACTATTAAAATTAATAATGACTTAACAAATTCTGGGATTGAGTATAAAAGTTAAAAAAAAATCTGTCCTATTTTTTAAAATATATTCATATTTGTTCCAAATAAGAGTTATGGAAAACTAGCTTACTTTATCTGTTTTTTCTTCCAAAGATGCTAAAGAATTATCACATCATAAGCCTAGCTAAACTTTCTGCCATCCATTTATGTTTTATTAGATTAAAACTCCCATTATTTGACAGCAACATAATTGTCTGACAAAATTATGAACTACAGTCTAATACATATCAGACAAATGTATTACAACATACTTGTTTTTATACTTAGGCACTAAGATAACGAAGAAAGATGAAACTGACTCTTAAACTGCACTAACAATATGCATAACTATGGAAAAATGCACTGGAATTGTTAAGGATGACAGCTGTTCACAGCAAGCCATGTTAAATCATACAAGCAGAACACATATTTACTAGCTTGTCTGTGTCAGTATTATATTATTGCATAGATATAATAGACTTCCACCATGGAAATAACTTGCTATTGTATGAATTGAGGAAATCTTAAATGCTAAGCAACATATTCAGCACTACTAATACATTATTGTCTGACTTTACAGACAAGAAATTGTCTCTTGATATTATTCAAATTCATAAATACAGTACATTTGTTTATCCAAAACATACTTGAAGAAACCTTTGTAGAAACCTCTTCAAAAGTGAATTGGCCTACTGAGCAGTAAAGAGTTTTCAAAGATGATTTCAAAAGCAAACAAAGACTAAGTGGAATTATATTTGGATATAAGCCAAAGTTGATATACAGGTAATGCTCAACTTACAACCACAATTGAGCCCAAAATTTCCATTGCTAAGCAAGCCATTGTTAAGTGGGTTTTGATCCATTTTATGATCTTTTTTGCCATAGTTGTTAAGTGAATCATTACAGTTAAATTAGTAACACAGTTGCTAAATGAGACTGGTTTGCCCATTGACTTTGCTTGTCAGAATATTGCAAAAGGTGGTCCAGGGCTCTGCAACCATCATAAATAAATGCCAGTTGGCAAGCATCCAAATTTTGGGGATGGGGATGTTGCAATGGTTGTTAAGTGTGAAAATTGGTCATAAGTCACTTATTTCAATGCTGTTGTAACTTCAGTCGCTAAACAAATGATTGTAAGTCAAGGACTACCTGCACAACTAAAAGTCTTTACAACTGATGCATATACTGTACAAATGAGAACGTTTGGCTGCAGAGATGTAGACTCCTGCTATAATCAAACCAGCCTTGTATTACTGCTATCAGATTTAATTCATCTAGAAACCACAGTCTGTATTTTAGCAGATAATCTTCAACCAGTGTTAGTGTGTAAATACTGTAAGTTACCCCCATTAGATTACTTAGGAATAGGGGTCAACAATACAGCACCTATAGGCACCACTACATTTATAAAACCACTAGATGGTGCTCATGGACTTGACTTTTAAAATCGTAACATGGGTTTTTTTTTTTTTTTTAGTTCTTATATATATAGGACTTGGCTCTGCCTTCATAGGAGAGTGCTCAATTTTGAATATTGTATTTAAATGAAATTGTGCAATAGTGCGCCTGCAACTTGAAAATGCTTCCCCTGTGCAACATAATACTGTACGCACATAGTTGTAAGGCGCATAACACAGAATTATATTATCCATTCAATGAAATACACAAAATTAATAGCAGTTAGACATTTTTATCTGTTTTACAGGTTTTAAATTTAATTTAAAGCAGTTTCTCACCCAAACAAATTGCTTCCCTTCCTATGTGCTCAACAAAGTGAATGGCCCTCACATTTCAAATGTGAATTATTTGGGAAAAATACTTTTATTGAAGTATTTTTGCTTCTATATAAGGAATAACTTCTTTTTCATAGTTGTCACAGCAGATACTAAGAAACTCAGCCCACATGGAAAGCATGTGTCAGGCTTTTATTAGGCTAAAGTTCAAAGGTGATAAAGCAACAGTCTCCACTTACAATTCCATGACTTAAAAGTCTAGGTTTTTTCCATTTTGCAACTGACAAGTGAATTAACACTTAAGCCAAAGATTTTTTGAATTATGATTTGAGCATCTTAAGGCTGTAAGCCAACCAGTGTCCTTTCAAAATGAGATGGGAGGCAAATAAATCTAACAACTAAACAAATAAAATATTTTTTAAAAAATATTTGTGCTGTCAAAACCCTCTTTAAAAGGTCTACCTAGTCACAGAAATATTTGACAGTCACTCCTTTTTGCTATATAAACAATAGCTAATAATTAAATGATTTTACAGAATATAACTTAAACATGTATTTTAAAAGATAAATGGAATGTAAAAGCTTTTAAAATAAACTTCACTTTTTCACTTTTGTCTATATTATATATCTATATCTATCTAATACTTTATCTATATTATATCATAAAAGCATTAATTCATGACTTGATGAACACAGGAAAATAAAGAAAATATACTTTCATATCAAGCATTTTAGTCTAGCATTTGCCTTTTTTCATAGTGGCATTCCAGTATCAGAAGAGGCAAAAGGAGGAAGCTCTACATAAATAAATTTGGCACAGCCAGCTTGGTCTAGGGCAGTGGTCCCCAACTGTTGTGGTTTGGTGGTCCAGCTTGGGGGGGGGGGGGGGGGGAACTGGGCCACCTGAGCATTGGGCTGGATGCACACACACAGCTCGACTCATGCGAGCATCAGACCAGCATGCACATGCATGTGCACATAGCTCAATTTGAGGTGCGCACATATGTGAACAGCCTACCACTCTCATGAATATAGTAGCTGTGCACACATGCACGCTTGTCCCTCTGTTCCTGCGGCCCAGTTACGAATAGGCTGCAGCCCAGAGGTTGGGGACTTCTGGTCAGACTAGAAAGTAGGACACTGTGAGTTCTAGCCCCACCTTAGTAATGAAACCAGCTCTGTCTCAGCCCAACTCACCTCACAGGGTTGCTATGGTGGAAAAAATAGGACAAACGTGTGTTATATATGTTCAACATCTTGAGTTATTTGCAATAATAAAAAAAAAGGAATATAAATAAATCATCTTGAGTTTGGGAGCCCTCTTTCCCACCCAATCTGCTGTGACTTCAACAACTCAACTGATATTAATGATGCTATAAAAGTTCTTGGGTCTTCTATATCATTCCAAATCTAGCTTTATGGATTTTAAGCAACTCTTTATTAAGAAGCACGACAACCTTGTTATAAGATAGCGAAGACTGCCATTGTAGCAAATTTGAAGATTAGGAGAGCATTTTAAAAAAGGTAAAAGTGTCCTCTATCCAGTCGTATCTGACTCAAGGGGGCGGTGCTTATCTCGTTTCTTACCTGAGAAAGCCAGCCGATGTTTGAAGACATTTCCGTAGTCATATGGCCAGCATGACATCACACCATAATGTAGAGCATGCAGTGAAACATGGGACGCTGTTACCTTACCACCAAAGCGGGACCTAATTATCTACTTGCATTTTCATGCTTTCAAATTGATAGGTGGGCAAGCCATAGAGGTCCTCTATTTCAGAGTAGTGTTACAGATTTCAAAATTTGAAACAAGATGAATGTAGGTGAAGTTTGGTAAACACATCATTTAATTGAACATGAGGATTAGTTCTTCTCCACCTCCCACCCTGTCATTAGCTTTCTTAAAGATAGAAAGAGAACAGGGATTATCACAAGCAGCTGAGAAAGGCCCAAAGTATACTCCCCACTGTCAGAATAGAGTCCGCAAAGGGTGCAAAATATGTTATGGTTCCTATTACAACCACTCCTATTAGCCCACACACAGAGAGAGTTAAGGAAAACAAACTATGAAAGAAGGGGCATGAATGAGTTAATTCAAGGTACTTTTCAGGGGGGGGGGAAATAAAGTGAGAGCAAAAATAAACTTGTTTTTTTACAAATATGTAAATGAAGAAAACTGAAGGAACTCTCCCACAATCAAGATATAAAGAACGGACAAGGAAAAAAATAGCTTTTTCTAAAGATGAGTTCTAAAAGAAATATAACATGAACTGGATATATCTGTAGGTGGAAATTTGGTGAATCCTACCTCTGAGACATGAAAAGGGCATAACCCTCCACCATGCACCAATTATTTCTCCTAAGATGAAGAAAGGGCACTGTATCTTTTATCATTTGATAAGGGAAATTTGGATAAGAAATCTAATGATGGTCAGAATTTCATCACAGTAAGAAAATCTTTTTTTTACTGATATTTCTGGGACTGGTTTCGTCCTACTTGAAATATTATGACTGCCAACATGGCACCCTACCACTTATATACAAGTACCACAGAGAAGATGCAAATGAAGGAAGAGTCTGCTTCCCAGAGACACATTCAAGAAAAGAGTGAAATTTTCCAATTTCCATTCATGAATCCACTTGTTCCTGCACATCCTAATCAACTTCACAGAGCTAAAGTCAGGATAAGATGGAAACAACAGCCATCACTTCCACTACTTTAAAATATGCTGAATAATGATTTTAACATTTGATGACATAAAACAATTGTCCTCTCTGTGAATTTGGGAAACAAAAGAATACTCTGGAGTGTAAAGAAATAGAAAACAGAAAATGCTTTCTCCACTTTTTCCTTTTAAAGGGAAATCTTCAACTCACTGCACTTACTGTATAGGAAATCTATGCAAATTTAAATTATAAAAATATATTATTATAAATATATATTATAAAATAATATCATATGATATATATTAACATAAATTATTATTTTATAATTATAAAGATGCAGAATCAAGCTTCATAGAGCCCATGCCTTCTGACCTGATAAGTGCTTTCTTCCAAGCAAAAGCAGTTTGTACCTCTTTTTGCATCCACTTATATTGGAAGAAATTATATATATGTAATCGTTGTAAGAAATCCAAACTTCATTTTGCTAAAAGTGCATATTTATTTATTCATTTATGGCACATTCCATCATTAGAAATACCAACTATAATATGCACATTTACTCATATAATGCAAGGGGTACAAGAAGATATGGCTTGTGATGGCCCATTTCAGCCACAGGACTTCAAGAAAGGAGGGAAGCAGAATCACACAAGATTTTACTGAATGAGAATTAAGACCACAATGATTTCTGAGAGAACGTCAGCTAAGCAGCCAATCTGAATCTCATTTCTGAAGGAATAGAAAAAATTGCAGTGGACTTAGTACCCAAATACTTAAAATTTCCCCTCCCCCACTAGCATCCAATTTGTATATTCAGACAGCTAGGAAGCTCTGCTCATGATCCTATTATGGGTTAACTCAGAATGGTTCAGTAAGACCAGGGCCACAGTGATAACACTCCAATTCTGTTGAAGAGCTACATAAATCTAAGTCTACCCATTATCTTACAAAAAAAAAAAACACCTTCATATAGAGATATATGGCATTCTGGGAATTTGTTTATATAAATTATACTTTTGTTTTCAATAACATGCAAAACATTTAAAAAGGGAAAAAAACTAAAATAAGAAAAGGGAGAAATGGTTCCCTCCCACCAAAAGTCTACCAGGACTTGGATGAACTGGTTCATCCATATTTGGACCTCCTTCTGGCATGACATGCAGGATTCCTCTAACTATGTATTTTGGGGGGTTTTCTCTGAATTCCCACATTTCTCTCTCTATTTATATTTAGATTGGGAGAGGAGTTCTGGTTATTTTTTTAGCCAAAACAACTTTGCAAGTATCAAATACACACTGTGGGATGAGAAACCTGCAGCCTTCAGGCTGATTTCACAAAATCCTTGACCTACTTTTAAAACCCATCTGCAAAAGATCAATTCAGACCCTTGGTACAAGTATCTCCTTGCAGCCTGCTGCTTGAAAAAAAAAAAACAACAGAAGAGGACTTGAGACTGAAGAGGGGGGAAAAACAGAATTTCGGGAAAATAATGAGTGGGGCCATCCATTTCTGATACTAGCCCCTCCTACTATTTTATATCCATCGTCTGGTCCCTAAAAATGCAACTGAGATAAAATAGCCCTACCCACAAAAAGCTGCCATCCCAGTCTGGGATGATAGTAACCAGCGTCATAATCAATGGATAAAATTAAAATATGGTGCCCTGGGATATCTGGGATTACCCCAGATGAATCTCACTAGTATTCCAGTAACTTCAAACTTCTGAATAAAAGGAACCTCCAAAAAGTTATATTTAAGATTTTCCCCAGCCTCCTTCAACCTGTCCCTCCCAGGCTGTGTTGGATTATAGTTCCCATCAGGCACAGCCAGCAAGCAAGAGTGCACCAGCCAACACAAGGACCTTGCTGGCTAGTGTTGTAACAATATTGTTCCAGGAGTTGCCCCATCTAGAAGGCCTGACTGGAAAGGGCTGCTTTCATTCATCTGTCATATTTGCTTAGGAAATTTTCCTTTACTGGTTTAAGATTTAGATGTCGCTTTTTTTCTCCTGCAGTGGAAAATAGATTTAGATCCTGCTTTTTTCTCCCTCAGCTGAAAACTGATTTAGATCCCGCTTTTTTTCTCCTGCAGTTTAAAATAGATTTAGATCCCGCTTTTTTCTCCTGCAACTGAAAACAAATTTAGATCCCCGCTTTTTTCCCCCCCTCAGCTGAAAACAGATTTAGATTCCCTCCCGCAGCTGAAAAGGGCATCCTCTCAGCACTCCTTTCCTCCCGTTTTCCACCCTCCACCCTCTCTCCTCCTCGGCCTGCCGGGATAAAAGAAGGTGCCGGGCTTCCAAATCCCCTCAGGCACTGCCCCTGCGAGAGTCGGACAGGCTCCCAAAGCCTGGCTCAGCCCGACCCCCCATCTTCCTCCCCACCGCCGCGCAAACTCCCGCGGCGCTTGGGGAAAAGAGCTCGCTGGTCTTGCGACCTCCTCTTTCTCAAGTCCCTTCGCTGCAGCTTGGCCTCTTCTTCCAAGATGTCTCCGGACTACAATTCCCAGCCTGCACAATCTGGAGAAGGCGGGGCGGGGGGGAGGCAGAGGCGCTCCCTCTCTCGTCTTTCCCCGGGAAAGT